TGCAAAGCTACGACAGCTACCCGCTGCTGTCATTCCTGGGCGTAGATCATCCCATAAAGCCCCGCGTCGTCGACGGCTCCCGCCCAAGAGCTTCTCAAGCCTCCTAGATCTTCACTCCCCTTGCCTTAATTTACCCTCTGTATCGCACATTATCCTGCACTGAACTCAGAATCTACCTGCCTCTTCTACAATATCGTGACATTCAGACGCACCTGCAACGAACGCCTGCTACCTGAACAGATCCAACTAGTAGCTCTTGACGTTGTGTTGAGCACTATAAGCGTTGAAGTCAGGTCACTGTCCCTCCTCCTCTTCTCTTGCGACAGCAACAGTCAGTCGACTGGAAAGCGCCAGTTATACCGTAGAGATCTTCCCTCATCGGGCTCTCACTTAACCTCAACATGTAAGTACCAAGCGGAAAGTAAGCCCTTGAACGATTCATCATTCATGTCGTCGCGACCTGTCGCCTTGCCCCCTACGCGCAATAGTGCTGAGGAGGGCCGACTCTCTGCACTCATTCAGCAATACTCTCCCTTCTCCATTCCAGGTTTCACCAACTCTCCCGGAGTCGCCCAACTGATCCCCTATAGGAACCGCGCCCTATCCATCCGCTCTAACAAGAGCCGTGGGACCTCGTCCAAGAATGGCGGCCGGCGAGGAAATGGCGGTGGCGGTTTCTCCTTCAACTCTCTCCGCGGCAATGTTCAGCCCGAGCTATCCCGCAAGCTGTACCGCCTGATCAAGTCAGAGAACAACCTGATCTCTGCCCACGAGGCTGCGGGCCGTGAGCGCGTGTCCATTGCCACCCAACTGTCTGAGTGGGGCGAGCACACCGGCGACGAGTCCATCAGCGATATCTCCGACAAGGTCGGCGTGGTGCTCAGCGAGATGGGCGAGCTCGAGGAGTCGTACGCTCATGCACTCGACGATTCACGCGCCTACCTCAAGGCCATTCGCAACACGGAGAAGAGCGTCCAGCCGAGCCGTGATGGCAAGAGCAAGATCGCCGACGACATCCAGAAGCTTAAGATGAAGGAGCCGGAGAGCGCCAAGCTCGTCGTGCTGGAGCAGCAACTCGTCAGGGCCGAGGCCGAGAACCTCGTCGCCGAGGCGCAGTTAACCAACATTGTGCGTTCAACAGTCTACCATTTCCTCGCGGGTATCATTCAAGCTAACAGTAAATTTGCAGACCCGCCAGAAGCTCAAGGAGGCCTACGAGGCTGAGTTTGCCGCCACTATCGAACGTGCCGAGAAGCAGATTCTCTTGGCCAAGCACGGCCGCCGTCTCCTGCACCTCCTCGATGACGCTCCCGTAGCTCCTGGCGACGCTGTCGCCCCGTACCCGCACTCTCAGCAGGCTCGCCAGATCCTCAATGACGCCGTGGATGACCTGCGTGACTGGCAGCCCCAGCCGGACGAGTTCGGTGTCGCACCACCCCAGAACGAGCCGCTTCTCCGACAAGGTACTGCCGGCTCTGACTCTCTTGGTGTCATCCGACAGCCCGTTGCAGGGGAGCGGTGTCGGTCTCAAGGGAAAGGGTACTTCGACTTTATGACGAAGTGACGGAGTCGG